AAAAAAAAAAAAAAAAAGAAAAAAAGCAGCAAATTTGCAACGTGTTAATAGCTGACCATAACAGGAGCCTTGTTCAGTGTCCATATTATAGGAACCACTGAAAAACAGGGTAAGACTTAATAGTTTAAAAAAAAACCCCAGGGCTCTGCAGAGCAGCTCAGCTGGAGTCCTGCACCCAGTGGGTCAGTTGCCACTTCTCTACATCCACCGTTTCAGTACAAGAGATGCACAGAGAATATAAATTTAATGGGGGGGCTTCAAAATTAAGGATTTGAATGAAGTAAGACCGTAGTTTAACATTACAGGCTTTAAATCTGCGAATAAAGGAACAATTAATGCAAGCAACAAAGCAATAAATTAATTATGCAAAAGGGGCATGAAAAGCTCTATGAAGCATGGGGTCTGTAAACAACACTAAAACTTGGTAACTTGAAAAATAGCTCCATTTTAAAAAGGGACAGTTTTATCTCCCAACCATAATGCTTCGTTAGTCAGACAGTTCCTAAAATGACAGCCAGCAACGTGTTTGTAAACACAGCCTGGATATATCCGCAGTAACTATGCTAAGAAATTACCTTTTTTAATATTTTCTTTTTAAATAAGAAATATACCTTTTTTAATATTTTCTTTTTAAATTTTTGGCCCTGTGGCCATCTCCCTGCTAAGAGTCATCAAAAATGGCAGAGGGAACTCAGGTGGATTTTATGTTTGCTTTTGGTTGGTTTTTTCTTTTCAATTAGCTCAGTGTCATCACCAAAAATGAAGCATGGGGTGTTACGCCACTACACTGTAAACAACACTACATCTAGAGACAGTCTATCCCTGGTAACTTGAAAAATAGCTCTGTATTAAAAAGGGACAGTTTTATCTCCCAACCATAATGCTTCGTAGTCAGACAGTTCCTAAAATGACAGCCAGCAACGTGTTTGTAAACACAGCCTGGATATATCTGCAGTAACTATGCTAAGAAATTACCTTTTTTAATATTTTCTTTTTAAATTTTTGGTCCTGTGGCTATCTCCCTGCTAAGAGTCATCAAAAATGGCAGGGGGAACTCGGGTGGGTTTTACGTTTGCTTTTGGGTTGGTTTTTTTTTTTCAATTGACTCAGTGTCATCATCAAAGCACCTTTGGAGATTAGATGGTGGAAGGTATTGGTAAAGCAATACAGGAGTTTTTTTAATCAATGAGCTACCAACTGGAAATTAAGCCAAGAGAGGAAAAACCAACACATTTTTGATGGCCCTCCAAGTGAAAAACACCCTCAGTAGCATCAGTCTAGGGATTATACACTTGAATGCAAGTGAAAAATGGGTGACGAGTGATTTTATTAAAAAGGCAGTAGATAGATTCTCTTACTGATGCTTCAGTGGCTCAGACATGCAATATCAGTTTTGTATTTAATGTTGAATACAATTGTACTGCCACTTAAAACACACAACCCCACTCAACTCAGCGGAGTTTGAGCACTCAACAAAGGCTGTTTCCTTTGCTGACAAATGCAAGTGAAAAATGGGTGACGAGTGATTTTGTTTATTAAAATGGCAGTAGATAGATTCTCCTACTGATGCTTAAGTGGCTTAGACATGCAATATAAGTTTTGTATTTAACGTTGAATACAATTATATTGCCACTTAAACCACATAACCCCACTCAACTCTGGGGAGTTTGAGCACTCAACAAAGACCGTTTCCTTTGCTGACAAACCGTCAGGCCCCATATTTTCCCCCAAATCACATCTGAGCTGCCATTAATTATAGAAAATCTCGGTGAGCTACAATTACACAAATAAATTTAAAGCACTAAAGGAGTTTTTTTAATCAATGAGCTACCAACTGGAAATTAAGCCAAGAGGGGAAAAAACAACACATTTTTGATGGCCCTCCAACTGAAAAACACCCTCAGTAGCATCAGTCTAAAGATTATATACTTGAATGCAAGTGAAAAATGGGTGACGAGTGATTTTGTTTATTAAAATGGCAGTAGATAGATTCTCCTACTGATGCTTAAGTGGCTTAGACATGCAATATAAGTTTTGTATTTAACGTTGAATACAATTATATTGCCACTTAAACCACATAACCCCACTCAACTCTGGGGAGTTTGAGCACTCAACAAAGACCGTTTCCTTTGCTGACAAACCGTCAGGCCCCATATTTTCCCCCAAATCGCATCTGAGCTGCCATTAATTAAAGAAAATCTCAGCAAGCTACAATTACACCAATAAATTTAAAGCACTGAAGCGTTTTTAATAATCACAGGTACCCACAACGTGAAATAGCAGTGCAGAATGTTACATCTGGCTTTAAGTCAGAATTTAGGTGCAATCTCGAGCACGGTTTGAACCGCAGCCCCTAATTCATAGGTACCATCTGACATTGGTATCGGGTAGTGAGAGGAACCAGCCCTTACCACCGGGGTTAGCAACAGCCAAGAGGAGGAGACTTACTCTGTGCCCAGCCTTATTGGAATGAAGAAGTTGATTGCAGACAGGGGGGGGCAATGAAAAACAGGGTGAAACATGATCAATGTTAAAACAAAAGAAAGCAACAGAAAAAGAAAATATAGCCAAATGAACAAGCAAATAATAATAATTAATGAATCGTTGATGTTATGAAAGAAGCGTTAAAAAAAAAAATAAATTAACAATTAAATTCCATTCAATCTGAGGGGGTGACAGCCCCTCGGCGCGGCCTCCTCGCCGCCGCCGGGCCCTCGGCGGGGCTGCGCCTCTTCCCTGCGCTCCCCTCCCGCCCCTCCACCCCCCCCGGCTCGGCATGAGGCGGATTGCGGGGCGGACACTGATAGAAAACGTTCCCTCAGCGCCCGTTCGGCACCGCCGCCCCACGGCCGCCGCCGGGGCCCGCCCGCCCGCCGCACGGCGCCCCTGACCCAGGCCCGGCGGGCCGCGGCCGGGGTAGAAACGAGCCCCGGGCATCCCCCGGCGCCACAGGGCGAGCCCCGGCCGGCGAGGAGAGGGTCCCCGGGGCTGCGGGACGGGCGCTCCCGGGGCTCACCATCCTGCTCGGCACCGCGCTCCCTCACACCCGCCGCCGCGGCTCCTCCCGGAAGGCAGGGCCCGTCCCAACCGGCCGCTACGGCGCCTGCGAAGGGCCAAACTCCCCCGAAACGCGTTTCTCCGCAGCGTTTCTCCGGCTACATCCGGGTCTCTCAGGAGGGGGCGTTTCCCGCCTTTTCTGCCGTCTTCGTGTGAGGGGAAAGGAAGGGAAGGGGGCTGCAGGCCGTGGCGGGCCATGAAGTGTGTCATTGGGGGGGCTCATCTCAGAGGTACCCGTGGCCGCAGGGGAGGCAGAAGGCCGGGGATAGAGTGGGGTATGTGGGAGAAACATGCAACCCAGAGCGGGGCCGCCTCAGGGTGGGCACACCTCAGCAGGGATGGCGGCCGTGGGCATGTGTGAATGTCCTTGGCGCTGCCCTCCGTGGGTGTCCCCATGGGCGTCCTCAGATGGTGCAAAATGGGGCACGAAGCACTGGGAGCTGCATCCAGCCGCGCCATGGTCAGAGCAGAGCTGGGGAGCTGCCTCTTCCTCATCCCCACGGGGACAATGGCGTTCCCGTCGGGCAATACACCGCCTCAGAAAGTTGTTCAGATGGGAGAGCAGAGGGCTGGGTTTGTCACACGCCGCTCTTCCAGAGGCACAACCAAACCTCCTGCGTGCAGCATTTTCATCTAAAATGCTGCTCTCCCAGTGCCAGGGTGGGCAAAGGCAAATTTTGAGACCTACAGCTGGTTTCTGCTATCTTCTAGAGTTACATCTTTTAAGATAATCCAACTGCTTATGGCTTTCTCAAAATTGTTGCCATCTACAAAATTTCTAACTTCAGTGATGTTTTGTCCCATTAGATTGAATTAATTTGTGGTGACATCAGGCCACAGCAGGTGCTGCAAAGGGACAGACGATGTTTGAGGTGCCCCTCTTTGGAGGCAGCTTTCCAAAACATCAGGGTTGTTTGTGCTACTAAAATGGAAAGAGTAATGTTTTCCACCATGTTATCAAGTTTCTTCAAAACGTGTAGAGAATTTGTAATGTTTCCTCTTAAATCACTCTGGAGAAAATGCAGTATAGCTTTTTTATTTTTAACTTAGAATGCATATTGCACTGTTTTCTTTTCCTGCTAGTGTTTGGAAGAGCAATACATGCCATAGCACGTATAAGCGATGAATTTTGGTTTGACCCCGTAGAAAAAGGTGTAAGTGAATTTGATTTATTCTAATCTAAAAGTCTTTACTGGAAGCATAGTGTTTATGTTGCTGGATGTTGTGTTGTTTTCCTACAGGTACCCTTCAGTCCGAGTTGCATTCTCTCTCAGCTTCCTCCACTTTCAGTATGGACAAATGCCATATTTTCTGTAATTCAAATTATGCAGATTAAGTCATGGAAGATTCATTCCTACTCTGCCCTTAATATTCTTCGATTTTTGTTACCCAAGATGAACCTTGTCCAGGACATCTGGATTAATACCAAGGGTTTACTTCTGTTGTCATGGGTCAAAAGGTTTATGTTTTGTACTACATCAGAAGCTGCCTTTAAACAACATGTTTTTGTACCGGTATGACTCAACAGGAAGAATGTGCCCATTTATATGCCTTCAATTAATCAAACACCATTTCCAGCAGAATTAGGGTTTTCTCTAGAGGTTTCTTAGATAAAAGTGATCGACTCTCAACTTGCTGGGAGGCTGGAAATTCAGAAGTAGAGATGATTTCTTTTATACCTGAAGGATTTTTGAGGTGGTAGTAATATCTTTGCTCATCTGTACGTATCATGTGCTGGCTGCACGGGAAGATTGTTGTGGAATAAACTCCAGTGCTTCAAATGCCTCAAATGCAAGCTGAGCTTTAAGTATTTAGGTAACTCACACTTCAGGGCCACTTAAATGTCCGTAGATTGGATTCCTGTGCCTGTATTACACCAGTGACTCCTGACCAGTAAATAATGAGGGTGGTAAGTTTGAACATGTTTGTATGCGTGATGCACCTATATTTATTTGGAGAGGTACTCGTTTAATGGTTTTGTGGCTTAGGTGTGGTAGTGAAGCACAGAGATGGCTTGTGGCTTAGGTGTGGTAGTGAAGCACAGAAATGGCTTTTGTGTTAAAGGTTCAATATGAAATAGTTTTGAGTTAAATTATTTCACTTGTATTTTCAGCTTGCCTTAAGATCAGTGAATTCTTCAAGGTCAGCATATGCATATGTCTTCTTCTCATCGATGTTTTTTCAACATTACCGCTGGACAACTGTGTCTCAACCATGTCAGAAGGAAAAACAGTTATCCCTGCCATGTAAATTGATAATTAAGGTACATTTTAATGGATTGTTATGCACAGCTTTGGAAGCAGCAAATTAGCCTAATTTCCAAATGAAATTATAGGGGAAAGCTCAGAGGCACGTAGATGGCTCTAAACTCAAGTGCTTTTGAACAATTCTGCAAGAGAAACCGTTGGTATTTAATTATGTTCAGAAGTTGTACCTCCTGAGCCGTGCCCTGTGGTTCACAAAGTATGAAGCAGCTTAATCTTGGGGTGAAGGAATACCACATTTCTGCCTCTGGAGTGTTTCTCCTGGAGCCTTCAAAACCAGTGTGAGGCAGGAGAGCTTTGACCAGTTGTTTAGCAAACAAGCCCGTTGGCCACATGTTGGGTGAGGATGGCGAGGATCAGTATCAGCTGCCTCAGTGTCTGCTTACAAAGCAGTTTGGGGAAGCCATAAAAGCAGGAGGTTCAGATAAACTGTATGAAAGTTGCAAAATTGCTTGATGAGTAACCTCTGCACTGATTTTTTTTTTCTTTTTTTTACAGTCAGTTCTTCCTGTATTTAGATATGTAAATGTCCTGGAAAGGAATGTAGAGAAATGCAGCATTTATACAAATATTAATGATCATCACATAACTTTTCAGCTCCTCTGTAAACATGGTAGGTTACACTTAAAAGTGCAGGGCAACGTAATGCTCAGTGTAATTATTAACTGAATGTTATTGATGGAACATTGTGCCAAACACTTGCAGCCTCTTCACATCGTAATTTATATTTATCACAGGCATCACCTTGTTAAAACAAAGTTATAACAGGTTTTATCAGACAAAGGTTCTTCAGTTCAGTAGTTACACGTGCTACGTATTAATTGCCAGCCTACTGCTTACAATATTTAGAATTAGGCTGGAGTAAATTCTGAAAAAAACCCGTTATGGAGAGGGAGAGGATACTGGAGGGACATAACTAACAGGGTGAAGGAAGTCTGAGATGACACATTAATTTAGTTCTCCATTTGTGGGTGAGTTATTTCCATGTAGCTGCAGTGAATGGCTTGGTTACTTTCTCTAGTGAGATCTCCCAAAAAAACAATTAATACTGAAAAAAACCCCAAACATTTAAAAGTACAGACCAGCACTGATTTTTGTTCATATCCTTTACTTAGGTGTTGTAAAAACATATAATCTGACGTTTCAAGAATGCGATCCGCTGCAGGCTGTCTTTGCAAAGCACATGTGTCCAAACATCCTTAAAGTTCACTCCAGGTAATGAACACAAAAATATTTTTTTCTGCGAAAAAAAAAAAAAAAAAATCATACAGGAGGCAATAGTGCTCTCATAGTCATTAACGTAATCATAATGTGATTAGGGCAAAGTTAAAAATGGCAAATTCCTAAATCCTGTATCCTGGTGCTTGATTTTTCACCTTACAAGTTAAGAAATGTGGCTCGTTCTGCCATTAATCCTCAGTCTGACCTTGAGAAGTGCGTGATGTGTAATTTGAATTCACGCTTTTGAGCCACTTCCACCTATGACTAATAAAGTACTGATTTAATTTTACAGGCAACGAATCCAGTGGGAAAAGTATTATTTTTTTTTAATGCAGTAAGGCAAAGTTCTGCCTTGAAAAGCAGCCCCTGGGGGCATCCAAGGTTTGGCCTGTCATTGCAAGCAAAGGCAAAGAACAGTTAAACTCTGTTTTTGCTGACAGCTTTTCTATTAAAAGTGTTTTCTTGTGCAGCACAGGAGTTCTTGTTGCAATATTCCACCATTAAAGGCGTATAAACATATCTCCATATAGATACTATGTATTGCGTTTTTATTATAAACAGATTATGCAACTTCTAAGTCTGAAAGCTTTTGAATAAAGAGTATAGAATGCAGAGGTTTGCTCATAAGTGGTAGATACATACAGAAAGGTAGTGGCAATATATGTATAGGCCAGACTGATTTGGCAGCACACACAGGCATTAAATATAAACAAATTAATTTTCTTAATTACTAGTTGTATTTTCAGATTTCTTACTTACCTATTGCTATATAAATCAATTAAAAAGATACAGCACGCTTTAAGGGGTGCACGTTTCAAAAGCAGGTTCTCCAACAGTATTGCCAAGTATCAACTTTAATTTCTAATGTGAGCAACAAATGCCAGTAATTTGTAGCAGGTAAAATTGTTTTCGTGTTGAATGAAATTTTACAGGCTGCTGGCTGATATAATGATTCACTTCCCAACCAGTCAAGAAGAAGTGACCTTATCAGTTACTCCACTGAAGGTTTGTTTCAAGAGTTACACTGAGGAAGACACTGGTAAGGAAATCCAAAATATGGAACAATATTGGGACTTTAAAACAGGTGAACTAAAGGAATAACTATTGCAACATAAACAGAGAATGCGTTTTATGGCCAAATGAGATTTTTAAGAGAGGGAACATATATGGAGAGATTTTAAGCCATACTGCCACCCTCTGGTTTTAATACATTTTAAGAAAGTAATTTTTTTAATAACATTTTCTTGGTATCGGCGGCAGATAACAGACTGAGCAGCCAATTGAAGTAAATTATGCCACTTGCTGTAGGCTTGAACAGAGGTAATTACTGTGCTGCAAGAGCAGAAGCATGGCAACAGACAGGAAAAAGGAGATAATTCTGTGTTTTAAAAAAGAACTATTTAAATCTGAATACCATAATTACAGAATTGATATCATTACAGAGCACATTTTAGCAGAAGGGCGTTCGAGCGTGTTCGCTGGCCTGACGCTGTTCTGCTGCGCGCCGCCGTTTCCAGATCTCCATCTGAGATGGAGAGCAACCCGGATTCTTGGGGTGTGACTCAAACTAATTTTAAAGATGTAATTGTGTTTTTGAAGTTATAGGTTCTTGTATATCATATAATAAAGGGATGCTTTTCATACTTGCTTATGACCAAAGCTGAGGATAATGACCTAGAAAAAGACGAGTGCCTGGAGCGCCGGGGTGGGGACTGCGCTGGGAACAGGCTGTAGCAGTGGAGAGCAGTGATTAAGTGGTGGCAACTGGAGTGAAGCAGGGGAAAAATTACTGAAAATAAGAAGACACTAAAAGGATTACATTTTGAATGGCAAATTTTGTTATTTTAGAAATACACACCTATAAGCGTTATTGTAAGAAAGAAAATGAAAAAGAATTAGTAGGTAAAAATGTAATGAGATACCAAAAAAAACCAGTCAAGGAGAAAGAGGAGGAGTTAGAAGCATTGTTCTTGTTGTGTAGTGTGTGATGCAATCCAGTGCCTGCAGCAAATGTTCTGTATGTACCGAAACAAAACCTGTCCTTTGAACATATCATCTGGCCATGGCTTGGGTTTTTCCATGTTCAGGTGTCATTTTCAAAGAAAGAAATTGCACCTTCTGCCTAGACTTGTTGTCATTTGCATGTGGTAGGCTCTGCCTCCTAGAATCAGGCAGGTGTGCTGGAAGTACATATTTCTCCAGTTTGAAGGATCTTTATGGGAGTTTATTTGAACACACAGCGGGGCCTTATTAAAGGCTGTGATTTAAAAAAAAACACCACTCCTGAGCAGAGAAGGGGAAGACTGGGAATGGTTTGTAATGGATTCTAATACTTCGTTAGCAGCCTGGCTTTGGAAGAGAACTGGGAGGTGTGTACTCTTTAAGCAGCCATAGATTTTTTTTTTCTGAATGCCTCTGTAACACATCATGCAAGTACCCTCTTACTTTCTTCTCACTCACCTAATTACAACTACGCACTAATCTAATGATAACAAGCAACAATTGAATACCTGAAACTGAAGAGCCTGTTTCCTGTTGCCACTTACGTATCAGGAAAAGATTATAATTTAAAACAAAGAACCCAAGTCCACCTTCATTGTCCTCCGATGATTGTCAGCAATTATGATTAATCTGTTAAAATCATGTGGCATTTTGGTCTTCCAAACAATAAGCAGCCGGTAATACTATTTGTGATGAAGGCCTGTGGACAAAGCAGATTTGCAAGAACAACAGCAGGTATCAGGTTAGATCACGCAGTGGAACATGAAATAGGTTCTGTTAAAAGCCATTTAAATCTACATAGGATACTGTAAATAAAGTGAGGATTTATTTTACTTAATTATGAAATAAATTCAGATAAGCTAAATATTTCTTACTGTTAGTCACCGTAAAAGTACAATTATTTCTTCAAATGATGCTGATGTATAAACCTCATGGTTATAATCATGGTTTTGTTGAGTTCAAACTTCACTCCATTGAGTCCTTGACTTTCTTGCTATTTTGAACAGATTTTTCAAAGACAATGCTTACTGAAATACGACTAAATCCGGAGGAATTTGACTACTTTCAAGTTGGAGTAGATTCTGAAGTGACCTTTTGCCTTAAGGAATTGAGGGTAAAGCAAGAATTTGTCTGAAAAATAAAACATTTCCCCTTAATTTGCATTACTTGATGGGGACGATGCAGAGTGGTCCCTGGGAGGTGTCCCACCAGCAGCAGGTTTTCACCCGCTGGTTGAGGATTAGCTTTAAAAACCAGGACCTTCAGGACACTGCAGGGTCCCTCACAGGGGCCTTCGAAAGCAGAATTTTACCCTCTTTTTGCCAGTAAACAACAGCTGGGATAAACTTCCATTCTAATGTTGATCTTCTGTTTTTAAAACAGTGCCTAACTACCCACCCCTTCTTTCCAGGGACTGCTCGCCTTCTCAGAAGCCACCAGTGTTCCCATCTCAGTCCATTTTGACATCTCTGGAAAGTAGGTTGTGGGACTGACCAGAGCTGCTGCACTTACACCTCTACAGTCAGGTTTTGTTGGCAGGTTGCTCAGTGAATATTGAACTGGAACAAGAAAATAGATTTTTCATTTCGTACCAAAAGCTGTATTTCTGTTCTATGATACAGGGAGAAGTAGCTTGTTATTAGGCATAAAGCATTTAATTTAGGCCTTGGTATTGCTGAGCGAGCCGTGCTGACTAACGAGCACCTGGATGTGGTACCCAGACACTTCAGGCTCTCGGTCTAAGGCATGCAATGATTGTATTTAATAGTCTAAAGAAACAATATGTTTTCTGTTTAAAATATAATTTTAACAGTTACATGTTTAAAACTATAATTTGACTATAATACTGTATAGAATTTGCTCATTGGTGCATTTAAATAATCTGTATCAGGAAGCCCTCTCATAGTCTTCAGCAGCAAATCCATGAGATTTTCAGCATTTTAAGATGTGTGTATAGATTTGCAGGAGCTGGGCTTCCTCCCATGGTACGTGTAGTTACACCTGCTGGTTTGCTCCTGACCAGAGCTGCTGCACTTACACCTCTACAGTCAGGTTTTGTTGGCAGGTTGCTCAGTGAATATTGAACTGGAACAAGAAAATAGATTTTTAATTTTGTACCAAAAGCTGTATTTCTGTTCTATGATACAGGGTGAAGTAGCTTGTTATTAGGCATAAAGCATTTAATTTAGGCCCCGGTATTGCTGAGTGAGCTGTGCTGACTAACGAGAGCCAGACACTTCAGGCTCTCAGTCTAAGGCATGCAATGATTGTATTTAATAGTCTAAAGAAACAATACATTTTCTCTTTAAAATATAATTTTAACAGTTATGTGTTTAAAACTATAATTTGACTATTGTATAGCATTTGCTTGTTGGTGCATTTAAATAATCTGTATCAGGAAGCCCTCTCATAGTCTTCAGCAGCAAATCCATGAGATTTTCAGCATTTTAAGATGTGTGTATAGATTTGCAGGAGCTGGGCTTCCTCCCATGGTACGTGTAGTTACACCTGCTGGTTTGCTCTCTGAATATCCCTGTTCAGGCCAATTGCTTTCAGCATTGAGGACATGGCCCTGGAAGCCAGCTTTATTTTGGCTACTTTGTGCGACATCGAAAAGGAGCCGGCCTCCCCGCAGCCTCCCGGCTTGTCCCAGCGGCAGGAAAGGTGACGGGGGGCTTCGGGGGGGTGGGGGAAGGAGGGAGGCACATTGCCTTCAGAGGATGAAAAATGGAAGTTTAAAGCTTTCCAGCCAAGTCAGATTTAAGATGGAAAGGAAGCGATCTGCTCCTTCTTACCGAGTGTCGGTAAGCGTTGTACGGATCCTGGGGTCTTTGTGCACCAACCAAGACTGAAACTGTGAACTAAGAAGGTTCAGGAACATCTTGGCATCATGCACAGCAATAAAGCTTGGTGCAGGAGCACACTCTGTGCCAGCTTCTGCTTCCCATTAGCTCCACGGGGTTCTCTTGCCGTGGGAGGGGAAGGGAAGGTACTTGTTGAGAATCTATTCTAAGATTCAGGCTTTTCATTAACAGAAAATAAAGACATTCTGACAAAAACATGAAAAAGCCAGTTACTAACCTGAGCTGCTCTCTCCGTCGCAGTTTGAAGGCACGTGGGGGTAAACCTGAGAGAACCTCTGTGGACAGAGACAGCGACGCCGACACAGTTGCTTCCAAAAAGCCACAGTGGGATGGAAATGCCCCCAACGCGGAGCCGGCGAAACCTGCAAACCGTTGGGTGAAACAAGAGATGCCAAATATTCCCAGAGCCACAAGGAGAGAGGTGCCAAGTGCAGGAGGAACAGCCCTGCCCGAGGCAGAGGACCATGCAATGGGGGAAGGAGAGGCAGAAGAGTCCCATTCCCAGAAGGTGAGGAGACTCCCAGGCAGATGTGCAGTGGAAGACCTTAGCTGGTGTTTAACTGAATGCCACCTGTCTGGGGGGGGGGTGAGGGGTTTAAAAATTTAAATGCCAAAAACTTCAGAAATAATTAATCCCCAAAGTTCTCTGTCACGTGCAGTCTGGTTTAAAGATTTAAACGGCAAAAACTTCAGAAATAATGAATCCCCAGGTTCTCTGTCACGTGCAGTTTCTTACTTCTATCAACATTCCATTTTCCAGTTTCATTCCTTGTTTTTCGGAGCGGTTTCCTGCACGGAGAGGGGTGCCATCAGTCACACCCTCCGTAGTTTGGCCACAGCCAGTGACACGGAGGAGGAGGCTGGCAGCACACGGAGCTCCCAGCTGCTCTAGGGACAGACAGACCTGAACCCAAGCGACGGCCATCGGGGGCTGCCCTGAGAGATAGAAGTGTATTTGAGAGGGTGGTTGTGGTGCTGGTTCTAGGCTTGGAAAGAAGTTTAAATCGCGGTTCTCCAGCAAGTCAGGACTCGATGGAAACCTCACCAGGGAATTCAAACCGCGTTATATCACTTCAGGCTAATTAAGCTGCCTTAATTTGAAGTTGAAAGTGTTGGAAAATAAGCCCAGCCAAACGCTCAGCGTTGGTGTTTTTACTGCAGCTTCGTAGAACCGGCGTTTTACTGAAGAAACAGAGTTGTCATAGAAATGTGTTGGGGAAAAAAAATAATAAAAGTTTGAGGTTTGTGTGTTCCAGCCCTGGGTCACTGCTTCCCTCTCCCCCGGGTCTGGGAACACCGCGAGGGTCCAACGAGAGCCCCAAGGAACCGGCGGCTGCGTGTCTCGGCGCCACCGGTACCGTTAACAAACAGAGCTTTGGCAGTCAACTTTACTTTAAAAAACACATTTTAGTATAAATACTATATTTATTAAATATCTTTACAATTCATTTAAATGTATTTACAGAACTATTCCTGCATAAGTTATACCTCAGACATGAAATTCACATAATCGCCTCTTAGGTAAGCATAGATGATAGTCTCATTGTAACAACAACAAAAAAGCATCCTCATTAGATACAGACTCGGATTCGCTTCATTATTTCAGCTATCTTTGTAAGGAACTACTTCATACAGTCACTTTCTACACACACCATCTGGGCTTTTCCCTGGAGAAAGGACATCCAATACCGAGAGATGGAGATTCCACCACCAAATCCTTCCTGTCTTTGCCAGACCTTCACCTCTCCCTTCTCCTCGACTCGGTCAACTGTCTGGTCCCAAAATCTCTTTTTTTTTTTATTTTGTTCTTTTTTTTGGCCATACCTTCTTCATAAAAACACAAAGAAAGTACATTTAGAGGGAAACTGTATGTTGCAGGTCTCCCAAAGATAGCCATGAAAGTAGCAAGGAACCACAGAGTTTTCCCCCAAATTCACCACATCTTTAGCCCTGTTTTCCCCAAATACCAGGTAACGCTGCTGCAGAAAACCCCCAACTCCTGCCCGTGCTGGGACGTTACGTGGTTACTGGTGTGCAAAACTCCTCCTCCTCCTCCAGATCCCTGCTCCCGACGGCGAACAAACACCCCCATCACCTCCTCCTCCTCCATAGCAGGGGGGGGACACTCAGCCCCTGCTTCACTCACACACGCGCTTCCGCGGCCCCGGAACACCTCTCTCGGCCGTTCCTCTCCTGAATAGTCACAATAATCTAATTCCTAGGAAGTGTTACTGCTTCATGCATCGCTTAAAATTATTTTGATAGTATGGGCCCTGTCATTTCCTTTTCCGAAAAAAATCTGTTGTGCGCAGACAGCTTAAGTTCATAGGAAGAAATTAGGTTTGATATGTTTAGAGTGCACATCTTAAAAAAGAAAAAAAAAAAAACAAAACAAAACCCAAAAAACAACCAAAAAAACAATCAAGCATGTGATAAAAATATCAATTCTTTATAATACAGTATTGCTTTATAAACAGATGGAAAAGCTATAAGCTTTACTGGTCTTTGGTGTGTCCAGTGAGGGATAAACTCATGATTTGTGTAAATCAAAATCCAAATTTGTTCTGTCTTAAAAAAATAAATAATAAAATAATAATAATAATTGGGATGTGGTATGAGGCAAATGGCTTTGTAGCTACTGCTCAGCCAAGAGCGACGGCCGAGTCCCTCCCCGCGGGGAAAAGCACCTTCCCCAGGCTCATCCCTCTGATCCCCCCCCGTCTCCAAACGTGGGATTTGAGAAATCGGGGA